TCCGTGACTGCAATACTTTAGGCGGGATTCTGATCCCATAATTTTAATGATGTAAGTTAATTGCAGAAAAATGTATGTCCGCCTTTGCAATTAATCATTGTTTTTGTTGTTTTGACTCCAACTAATTATTCAACTACAGTATTTGTAGCAGATAAAAAGTATGCCGTCTAGAACAATTAGTTAACTCTTTCTTTCTTTGACATAGGCCAGTATTTAGGAGAAGACCTGCAGTTATTGCCATAGGCCAGTATTTAGGGGAAGACCTGCAGTTTTCTGGTCCGTCTAATGGAGCAGTAGGAGGAAGTGTGGTGTTTGCTCCTGATAACCCGCCCTCCACATCAATTTTTACAGTTCAGTGGCATTTTGGATCAACTCTTATATTGACAGCACAGTCTGATTCAACTATAATAGCCTCAGCATACAGAGACAGAGCCAGTTTTGACAGAAACACTCTCGCTCTGGAGCTTTGGAACCTGAGACTGGATGATTCTGGAATATACAGACTAACTGTAATAACTACTACTTCAGATCAACTTACAGGAGAAACTTCACTACAAGTGTTCGGTGAGTGTGTTGCTTAAACTTCTGTAATTAATATTAAAGCATCGGCTATAGGCTTAATATATGATTATATGAAATGAATTTAATGTGTGGAAGGGAAAAAAGAGACATGAAGCAATTTAATATGCTGTAAATGAAACACGGATGTGTAAAAATGTCAAAAGTGACAAGCAGAAGTACTAATGAGAGTATAATAATAATATTTTAGATATGCACAAGCCTGCTGTTATTTTCCAGTGAGCTTTGTGGTTAATTGTTTCTGAACCAGATTTGCACAGATGAGTGTTACTTAGGGAACTCTTTAAACTTTTAAAAACGTTGTTACATGAAAATTTGTAGCTTTTTAATTTATTTTGAAATAAATTTTAGACTACAGTATAGATTTTTGTTGTTTTACTCTTGTCTCAGACCCAGATTTTCAGTCTTCTATCAGCTATGAAAATCCATTAAAATCCATATTAAAAATATAACTTATATGTTACAAACTATGACGATCTAAATAGACACCGAACTAAAGATAAACACTCTATAGGGTGCACATATTCAAACCTATAAACATTCCTTTCATTGCTGATTGGCCTTCTGTACCACCCTTGACCACACTAAACATGAAAATGTGAAATGGTCACTAAATGTGAAAAACTCATCTTAAATCTAGTGTGTTTATTCTTTGTCTCACACTTACACAGAAAGAATAACTAATGACAGGCTTATTGGTCCAGAAGAATCATTAATAGAGGGAGAATCATCTGCTAACATCAGCTCTGAGGGAACTGGCAGCATCACCTCTGTGCAGTGGATGAAAGATAACAGTCCTCTGTCTCCTAGCAACAGCATCATCTTCTCATCTGATAACAGATCAGTGTCCATCAGTCCAGTGCAGAGATCAGACAGTGGAGAATATCAATGTACATATAGAAACCCTATCAGCTCTGAGACGGCAATACTCAGCCTGATCATCAACTGTGAGTGTTAAACATTCAAACGTCAAGATGATTTGAGCTCAAACCTGATGAAATACAGACATTCTTC